TATATTCGAGCCACATTGAGCCCTTTTAAGTGATTTGGTTTGGAGTGACAGTGGTACATTGTGAATACAGTGAGCACAATAATTATTCGTACACTTTGAAATTTAAACTTCATTTATTTATAAGTCAAAAAATATTAAATGTTTTCAAATTTAGAATTTTCCATAATAAAGATTATCATTTCAAGAACATATTTCATGTGTAAGATATTAAAGTTTCACCTTAAAAATACAACAAAAAATTAAATGTATAAAAAATGTCACTTTTTTAAGGCACAAAAATTATTCGTACACTTCATTCAATTAACGAAAATGTTCTTAAATTTTAATTTTTTACAGTTTTAATATTTTGTCGGTCCTCCCTTAGCATCAATTACTGCTTGTAAACGTCGTCCCATGCTTTTTACTAAGTTATTAGTCTCATTAGGGCTGATATTATCCCATTCAGCCTGCAGAGCCATTTTTAGTGTGGCTTTTGATGAAATGTTATGCTTCCTTATTTTTTTTTCAAGGATATCCCAAACATGTTCAATTGGATTTAAATCCGGAGATTGGGGAGGTGTTTTGAGCTGCTTGCAGTGATAAAGAAGCCATTCTTGCACTAAATATGAGAAGTGTTTGGGGTCGTTATCTTGCTGAAATAAAAATGTCAATGGATTAAGGCCAAGTTTAAGGACACTTGGAACTACATTTTCACTCAAAATTCCTTTATACATAACCTTTTCCATTTTATTATCGATGAACGCCATTCGATCGACTCCACCAGCAGCTATACAGCCCCACACCCCTTAGAAGGGCCATCATGTCCAAATATGATATATTTTGATTCATCACTGAATATAACATTTTCCCAAAAAGAATCATGCTGATTTAATTGAAGTTTAGCGAACTCAAGCCTTTTTTTTTTGTTGATGGCAGAAATAAATGGTTTTCGACGAGCAACTCTACCATGTAAACCGGCCTTATGTAGGTAGTTACGAGCAGTTTGGACACAAATTTTTTTTTGGGTTGCTTCTTCCAGATTTTTACAAAGTATTTTTGTGGTAATTCTTGGGTTTTGTAAAACCGTAGACACCATTTTACGTTCCTCCCGGGATGTAAGCTTTTTAGGCCTCCCAGCTTTTTTGTGATTTGGAGCTATATTTCCAGTAGTTACATATTTTTTGATCACGCTGTGAATGGTGGTAGGTGCCTTGTCAACAATTTTACCGATTTCACGAAAGCTACGTTTTTCCAAATAAAATTTTAATATCGTTTTTCGCAAATCTAGGGACACATCTTTACCTCGTCCCATTTTGCCCGATCTCAACAAGGAACGCAGCCAAAATGACTTCAGTCATAACAGAAATTAAGAAGTACAATGCTACTCTAAAGCTCAAAAAAGAATCACCGATTACCGTTGCAATTACAAATAGCTGAGGATAACAGCAAGATGTACGAATAATTTTTGGGCCTCCTTTTTCGTACATTTTTTGCTTTTTCTTCGTTTTCTTTGTGCACAATAACAACAATGCGTTGTTGTTTGGACACATGTTTACACAAAATGTATGTTTATATAAAAAGTAAAAAAAAACAAGAGAGAACGCTATAGTCGGGTGCCCCGACTATCAGATACCCGTTACTCAGCTAAAGGGAGTGCGAAGGAGATGGAGAAAAACTTTGATCCGCCGTAACTTTTTAACGAATGGTCCGATTTAAAAAATTTCTTCTACATTTCGATAGGTATTGATAAACACAATAAAACTGCATTTTTACTTTTCCAAAATATTGAAATTTTTAAAATCGTATATAAGCGATTGTGGGCGTTAGAGGGCGTGGCACGGGTCTCGATTGTTTTGAGTAATTTGGTTCAGAGTTACAGTGGAACATTTCAACAATTATAGCTTTGCTAAATAATTAAAATTTTGTTTGTAATTTTCTAAAAACGCCTAAACGTCGTGGAGCTTCTGACAGCAATACTTCTATTGTAGAAGCTGATTCAGAAAATATTTTGAGAAAATTGGATTCAGTTAAGAAGGATATAAATCGTATGGCTAAAGCCGTGGAAAATAAAAAGATTTCGTTTAACTCTGAACAGTTTGATTGTCGTTTGAGTATTTTAGATACGTATATAGATCGCGCATTTTCGTTACAACTGCAAATTGAGGATGTCGATCCGGACTTGGCATCGCGATCTGAACTTGAAGATTTATGCGTGCTAACCAGAGCATTGTTACTGTCAGTAAAAACTCCAGCCCCGTCAAGCAATCTAAACGAATCAGTGTTTAATACAACTCTATCGAATACTAGACACCTTCCTCGAATGCAGTTGCCCAAGTTTGGTGGTAAATATTCTGAATTCAAAAACTTTATTGGATTATTTTCGAGCATAATTGATAGTGACCCATCCCTAAGCAACGTTGAAAAGTTTAATCATTTATTATGTTGCTTAGAAAGCGAAGCGTTAGGTACTGTAAAAGCCTTTCAGGTGACGGATCAGAATTATGCAAAGGCACTTGCTGCTCCAAAGCAAGTTTATGGCAACGAGTGTTGATGGCATATCTCGACTTTTTGAGATACAGTCTATCCAAAGTCCATCTGCAAGCGCATTGCGGTCGCTTATTGATACAGTATCGGCAATATATGAGTCCTTGTTGTCCATTGGCGACGAAAAGGTTATTGCAAACGCACTATTAATTCACATTGTCATGTCAAAGGTTGACGGAAAGACTCGCTCTAGGTGGAAAGAGAATTTAGATTACCAAAAAATCCCGTTATGGTCTGAGTGTGTTACTGCCCTTAATAAGCGTTTTCAGCATTTGTCGACTGAAGAGGCTACAAGCAGTGTTCAATTAAGTGAATGCCGAAATGGCGAGATTAAAAACAAAAAGTGCTATGCTAATCTACAGCTCTCTTCTTTGACGAAGCTAAAGCCGTGGAAAATAAAAAGATTTCGTTTAACTCTGAACAGTTGGATTGCCGTTTGAGTATTTTAGATACGTATATAGAATCGCGCATCTTTCGTTACAACTGCAAATTGAGGATGTCGATCCGGACTTGGCATCGCGATCTGAACTTGAAGATTTATGCGTGCTAACCAGAGCATTGTTATTGTCAGTAAAAACTCCAGCCCCGTCAAGCAATCTAAACGAATCAGTGTTTAAATACAACTCTATCGAATACTAGACACCTTCCTCGAAAGCAGTTGCCCAAGTTTGGTGGATAAATATTCTGAATTCAAAAACTTTTTATTGGATTATTTTCGAGCATAATTGATAGTGATCCATCCCTAAGCAACGTTGAAAAGTTTAATCATTTATTATGTTGCTTAGAAAGCGAAGCGTTAGGTACTGTAAAAGCCTTTCAGGTGACGGATCAGAATTATGCAAAGGCACTTGCTGCTCTAAAGCAAGTTTATGACAACGAGTGCCTTATATTTTTTGATGGCATATCTCGACTTTTTGAGACACAGTCTATCCAAAGTCCATCTGCAAGCGCATTGCGGTCGCTTATTGATACAGTATCGGCAATATATGAGTCCTTGTTGTCCGTTGGCGACAAAAAGGTTATTGCAAACGCACTATTAATTCACATTGTCATGTCAAAGGTTGACGGAAAGACTCGCTCTAGGTGGGAAGAGAATTTAGATTACCAAAAAATCCCGTTATGGTCTGAGTGTGTTACTGCCCTTAATAAGCGTTTTCAGCATTTGTCGGCTGAAGAGGCTACAAGTGGACGCTCAAAAGGTCGCAAAGGACAACAAGATACTAGAAACAAGCAATTTGGCAAAACTTCACTGGCAGTATCACAAACAATTAGAACCCCGGAAACAGCCAAATGTTCGTTCTGCAAGTCTAATGACCATTTTATCACGACATGTCCATCATTCTCAGCTGCTTCTGTCATGGCTCGTTTTAAATTTGCCAAAGGGGTCCCACTTTGCATAAATTGTTTGGGAAAGGGGCATATTATATCCGCCTGCAAATCAGCTCACTGCAGAGTATGCTCAAACCCCCACCAGGGTCAATTTTATAACGGACGAGTTGGCGAGAAGTTTGCAGCTAAAGCGGATTCGAAAAGAAATTAACTTGTTGGGAATTGGAAAATCAAGCTTATCTGAGCACCAAGTTGTGCAAACAACAATTAGTTCTCGCATTAAAAAGTATGAAATGGTTGCTGACTTCGTCGTTCTAAAATATATTTCCTCTTATCACCCAGAAAAAGGCGTTTCAATTAAATCTATTAATATTCCTCCAAATATACCGCTTGCTGATCCAGCCTTTTATAAGCCACAAAAAGTAGATCTGCTGCTCGGAGCAGACGCGTTTTTTGATCTTTTAAAAGATGGCCAAATTAAACAAGAAAATACACTGACTTTGCAAAACACTGTTTTTGGTTGGGTGGTGTCAGGGCGGTGTAAATCAAAACAACCCCAAGGGACTGAAGCGTGTTCTTTGGTGAGCATAGTTGAGGAGTCTGGTCCACTTGAAAAACTAGTTAAACGATTCTGGGAGTTGGAACAAGTTCCAAATGTTTCGGGCGACAAACTATATACCCCAGAAGAAATGCTTTGTGAGAAAATCTTTCGAGAAACAATTGTTCGTTTACCTTCAGGTCGATTGCAAGTATCCTTACCGTTTAAATCTAGCCCAACGTGTCTCGAATCATCGTTTGAGATGGCGAGAAGGCGTTTCTTATCGTTAGAGAGACGATTAACTAAAAATCCGAACACGCAGTTAATGTTTAATCAATTCATGGAAGAGTATTTGGCTCTCGGACATATGACTGCAATCGAGGGTTCAATTCCGAAAGATTCGCATTGTTTTATACCCTACCAATGTGTAGAACGTCCACAAAGCACATCCACTAAGCTTAGAGTGGTATTTGATGCATCTTGCAAGACTACTTCTCAAGTATCGCTTAATGACCTTCTTATGGTAGGACCAACAATACAACCATGCTTGTATTCCACTCTCCTCAGGTTTCGTTGTCGCAAATACGCACTTGTTGCAGACATAACTAAAATGTACCGTCAAGTGGAGGTTGACGAGGCGCAACGAATTTTTCAATTAATTGTATGGAGAAGAGATGCTGCCAGCCCCTTAAAAACTTATCGCCTAAATACGGTTACTTATGGAACAGCAAGTGCTCCATTTCTTGCAGTAAGATGCTTAAAGTATCTTAGCGAGACCCATTTGCAATCTCATCCTCAAGGTGCAAGATGTCTCTGGCACGGACTTCTACGTCGATGATCTGCTCACCGGAGCGGACACAGAGCAGGGAATGGCTGTTCTTCGTCGCGAGCTAATTGAGATCCTGGAACCAGCGGGCTTTGTTTTGACAAAATGGGCTTCGAATTGCAAAACAGGTACAAGCGACAAATCGAATGCGGAAATTTTACAAGGAGATCGTCAAGATCTCAAGACTCTGGGGCGTTAGGAAAGTTTCCACAGATCAGGTGGTTACAAAAAGATCGATCTTGTCCTTTATAGCCACACTTTTTGATCCTTTGGGATTGTTATGCCCAATAATAACTAGATCGAAAATATTTCTGCAAGAGGCTTGGCTTTTGAGTCTGAACTGGGATGACCCTGTGCCCCAAGACTTTGAAAAGAAGTGGAACCTGGTAAAAAATGACTATGCATTCTTGGACAAATTGGTTATTCCAAGATTCGTTGGAACACGCAAACAAGCATCGTGTCAAATTCATGGGTTTGCTGATGCTTCTACTCGGGCCTATGGGTGCTGCCTTTACGTTAGAGTGGTTGAGCCAAGTGGGGTGTCGGTGCAGTTGCTAACAGCAAAATCTAGGGTTGCACCTTTAAAAACAAAGACGGTGCCCAGACTAGAGCTATGTGCAGCGCATTTGTTGGCAAAGCTTTGGGAAGAAGTTCGCACCATCATCACCTTTCCAGTCGATAGTGTTGTCCTGTGGTCCGATTCTGAAGTAGTTCTTCACTGGATACAAACTCATCCATCTCAGCTGGCTACATTTGTCTCTAATCGAATTGCTGATATACAAGACATTGTGTCATCAGCTGTTTGGCGGCATGTGCCAACCAAGGAAAATCCTGCGGATTTAGTCTCGCGAGGATGCTCTGTTGATGAGCTAAATACCTCATTTTGGTACAATGGTCCTAGCTTTTTACAGAAGGAAGCCGAGTGCTGGCCAATAAATTCTCATTTTCAGCTATCAGAAATAGACGCAGCACTAGAAACCAAAAAGGCACACGTTGCTCTCATCGCGGCCGATGTTGAAGTAAGCCCGATGTTAAATATTGTAGAAAGGTCATCGTCGTATCTGAAAGTAGTTCGCATTGTGGCTTATATGTATCGATTTATCAACCGAAGAAAAAAGATGTCTTGGAATTCAATTTGTCCTTCAGCGGACGAGCTTGGTACAGCGTTTCTTAAAGTAGTTGAAGCTATTCAAAAGACGGCATTTGCTGAAGAAATTGTAAAACTAGAAAAATCCGCTAACATCCGTGCTGGAATTCAAAAATTAAATCCTTTTCTATCAGTTGAACAGTCTGGAACGTCGTCATATTCTTTGTTGCGAGTAGGTGGTCGTCTTCTACATGCCCCCCTTGCTCACAATGCTAAATTTCCCTTGTTAATGCCTAAAAATTGCAAATTTGTGACCCTATACTTGAGACACTTACATAGAACCAACTGTCACGCGGGTCCACGGTCGTTGGTTGGGCTTCTCAGACAAGTGATTTGGCTTATTAACGCACGTCGCGAGTGCAGTACCATTGTACGGCAGTGCGTTCATTGTTTTCACTATAAACCAAAACTTCTATCACAGATAATGGGTAATTTACCAAGAGATCGATTGCATGGAAATAGACCCTTTGAAGTAAGCGGAGTGGATCTCTTTGGGCCTGTTAAAGTCTCACTTGGAATTCGGGGAAAGCAGCCAATCAAGATGTACATAGCAGTGTTTGTCTGCTTTGCTTCCAAGGCTGTACATTTGGAAATTGTGAAAGATTTGACGTCTAATACATTTATTTTATGCTTATCCAGGTTTGTGGGTCGTCGTGGTCCTGTTGTCAAACTTTATTGCGACAACGCCACGAATTTTGTGGGAGCTGCTCGAATCCTGAAGGAGCTTTTGGAACCTGTCGACACCAACGACCAGAGCATCATGTCGTATGCTGCGGCCCACCGATTCACCATCGAATTCATCCCTCCCAGAGCGCCACATATAGGCGGCCTTTGGGAGGCGGCCGTAAAATCGGCCAAGCATCTTCTTCTCAGAGCCATGGGCAGAGCTATTCTGAAGGAGGACGAACTCCATACCGTCATAGTGGAAGTGGAAGCCGTCCTAAATTCGAGGCCGCTCATCGTAGACAGTGGCAGTCCCAACGAGGGAGAGGTTGTCACGCCAGCTCATCTGCTAGTAGGCACAACGCTAGCAACGATGCCGATGGCAGCTAGTCTCAGCAATCAAACAGCGGTTTTGGAGCGACTGGTCGAGGGACTATCTTTTGAGCCTACAGCAGCGAGGGAAATGGACCAAAGGCGTGGACATCCTTCAGATCGGAACAGTGGTGGCAATCCACGAAGACAACGTTCCCCCCCAGCTGTGGATAATAGGCATAGTCGTAGAGGCCATTCCAGGACATGATGGGAAGGTTCGCGTGGCTATAGTCAGAACCAAATCGGGTCTATATAAACGCTCCATTCACCGCCTTGCACCTATTCCTATTAGTTGAAGCATTTGTATGTTAATACTGTCAACGCGGCCGATGTTCAGTCAATTCGGTGGCGATTTACTTTTGTAAAAGAATGTAACAATTAGTACCTAAGATCTCATGAAGTCGAACTTTCCCTCTCGTATTAAAAAGAGCTTTCGCTCCCTCGCACTCGCGAGAACCACTATTGTAACTTTGAAACTCATATAATGGCTCTAGAAGAGTTTGAATAAATGTGATTGGATCACTCTCAATTTGGAAACGAAAGTGTCTAGAGTACTATTCTTGTCAGTCCGAATTATTAGTTAAAAATAAATTTCCGTATTGGCCTTCGTGATTTGCACGAACTATCTCCTTGGACTTTTCCAAGGCTTTTGACAAAATAGGTATCCACTCAATAATTCAACAACTTCAAGAATGGCAGCCAGGTCCCCGAATCATAAACTACGTCTCCAACTTTATGAAAAATAGAAAATTATTATCAAAAACGGCAGAAATCTGTCTAGCAGCTTTCCTCTCGATAACGGCATCCCACAAGGTTCACCCATTTCAGTTATTCTTTTCCTAATTTCCTACAATTCCCTAACAAAAATTATAACCCTACCAAGGCAAATCAATTTCATTGCTTACGCTGACGACTTTCACCTAATTATCGAACATAATAGAAGAAAAAACACCATAGTTGACCTCTCTTTCCTCTTCCAGGAAATAGGTCAGTAATGTTCAGACTCCGGAGCCTCCCTATCAATCGAAAAATGCCGTAAACACAACTGTAAATCTGAAATCCGAACCGACGCCGTGAATATCCCTAAAACTAACAATACAACAATCCTAGGCCTTACGCTAAACAAAAGATATAACTGGTCCACCCACATAAGCAAACTAAAAACCAACCTATGCAAGCCTTTGAACATCATAAAACACCTTTCTTCTCTAAAATACAACACCATCCTTATCTCAAAAATAGACTACTGTCTGCCCATTTACGGAAACGCTCCTAAACACCAAATTAACCGTATAAAAACTTCCTCAAACTCAGCAATCAGATCAGCGCTAGGTGCATTTAGGACAACACCAATTAACAATTTACTTGTTGAAGCCAATATAAACACACTAGAACACAGAACAAAACTTTGAACAGGCAAACTTTCAAAACATCTCATACACTCTTTTGACACCCCGATCAAAAAACTTATAAAATCTCAAAAAAGAAATACAAATACCCCAGTACAATTGACAGAATAATTTACATTTGTAATGAACTTGACCTTCCATTTGCACCTATCAAGAAATATCATAACAAAAAATACGACATGGAAATTATTAACAAAGCAACTAACACAACACTATCTAATTACAACAAAGCAGCACTTCGCCCACAATATATAAACAACTCTTCCAATCTCTAAAAAACTCTCTACCCAACAACATCTTTATTTATACCGACGGCTCTATGGCCAACGATATAATCAGCTATAGCGTAACCAGCGAAACCAATTCAATCAAAACCGGACTCCTTCCCCACTACCCTTCAGTTCTCTCTAGCGAGCTAATAGCCATCCATGAAGCTGTTAAAATCGCGCCAAAAATACCAGGAAAACATGCTATCTGCTCCGACTCCCTCTCAGCACTAAAATCACTCACCAACTCCAGTAACCATTCCTATTATCCCTCAACCATCAGAAACCTCGTTTCTAACCACTTCCCTAAAATCAACCTTATTTGGATCCCCAGCCACATCGGCATAACAGGGAACGAATACGCCGATAAATCAGCCAAAGAGGCCCATTATTACCCCCTTACCTACTCCCCAAACAACAATTCTAACGACATATCACACTACTTAAAAAAACACATACAATCAATACAAGCTGACATGTACAACAATGTATCTCCTTGGTATAAGCAAATGCTACAGACTTCTTCGCAATCCATCTGCCACTTTCCCGCAAGCACCAACAGAAAAACCCAAATTATCATACACAGGCTTCGATTAGGACACACGAAACTCACCAATGCTCATCATCCACTGCCCTTCCTTATCCCAACCCAGATCAGAATCCTTTCATTCGCTCAACCCCATCAACATCATCTCAAACCCAACTCCGGACAACGTTAGTCTCATTCCTTCAAAAAGCCCAAATTAAGTTTAAAATCGAAATCTCAAATAATAAATAAAAATGTATCTAAATAGACATCTCGAAAAACCCCAAATTAAGCTCAAAATCTAAATTCAAATTATAAAAATAAAATGTATCTAAAGATACATCTTTACATCGTATCTAAAGATACGAGCTGAAGGCCTTAGCTGCTAGAGCTCTTAATCTCAGTTAGCTTATAGTTTTAACTTTAAGTTTGCTTTAAAATAAACTAGCAGGGTCTGTAGCCCGCAGCTTCGCCTGCGGAAAATTATGCATACCATTATATTTGCTAATTATTTTAAATTAAAAAATTCCTTATTTTTAGCCTAACCGAGAAAAGATTTTATGATAACTTTTTTCTTATTTTCCGCAAAAACAACAGTATATTGTCCTATGCGTAAGTTATCAGCTGCACAGAACAGAAACAAATTAATTTTTCACCTTGATTAGAATTTATTAATAATAAGGAAACATTTGAAATTGTTTAAACAATATGAGGCACCTGTAATTAAGAGCAAGAGAATCAATTGGTTTGAATATTTAATATTCTTTTAATATTATCAATGCGATTTGAATTTTAGTTCACAAAAATCGGTTACAAAATGTCTTATGTAAGTATGTTGTGGAAATGTAAATGAAATATTCTTTAAGCAAAAGGTTATCAGTATTGTCTTGAATTTAAATTTGATCGAATCTCAATTCCTTAGTCAGCTGCAATGCACACACACAAATGTAAACACGCATATTTGTATCTAATGGCTGTGTGTGTAAAATACGCATTTTTTGGATATATTTATTTTGTGCGTTTGTGTGTACATAGCAGAGCAAATCATTGTTTGTTTTTGTTTTTTACAAATCCAAAGTTTGTCGATAACTCAACATTTGAAAACTAATAAATAGTTTGCTGATCGGGCTTTTGCATTTAAAAAAACAGAAGCAATTTTAAGGAAAATTTCGACTGTAAAATTCAGCTTAATGGGATTTCTGTAAGGTCTACCGATATTTAAAAATTTAACGTTTACTTAAGAAAGAGGCGCAAAAGAAAAGATTTGCGATATAATCGATTTTTTTTGGCTGTGGTATTTTCATTTTCCCCTTGCGCGGTCACACTTTAATTGCGACAGCAGGACATACATATGTACATATATACATGCGCCAGCAGAACATACATAAAACATATAGGGACGCGTGACGTCACATCAGGTTAGCCAAATTTGAAAATATTGGGGACTTGGTTAAGGATGCTGAATCTCCAAGAAATTTAAATGCAGTTATTTGCGGGTATGCCATAAGATTATGAACATCACATTTTTAAACCATTTTAACAACATTTATAACAGAGAAATGGCAAAAGAAAGAATTAAAAAAAAACAAATCGAATTTTGGGGCACTTTGGGGTCGTTTTTTGATCTAAAAAGTACCCCTTACGCGGCTCCTAATTATTTTAGTAATTACTGTGATTTTTCTAGATTTTCAGGTCAATCCGTTCTGGGTGGAATTTGCTACTGAACGTTTTTTAATCAAGACAAATATTGATATAGATAAATAAATAAATATTTTTCAATATCTAGATACTCTAGTGCTGCTCTTGTTACTCCCTTAGATTTCATAAACGATTGGTCCATAGAATCAATTTTATAACAACAAACCTTAGGACAGAGACCAACAAACTCTGACATTGGTCTACCATGAAGCTCATCTTTAAAAACACCTAATACCGCTTTATTACATATTTTAAAATTATATAATTTAGCTCTTTCTTCGGAATATCCAGATGTATCAAATTTAAATTCTATATCATCACGAATATCTCTTTAAAAGTCATCAGCTTTAATTGTATAGATGAAGGAATCTGTATCCATGTAATTTAATCTTATAGTATCTTGAAATTTTTTGATACATGGGTTTATCGTATACATATGACATAGAAATCATTCGTTAGTTTTGTAGCACTTTGGAAATTAAATTTGGAAAATAATGCTCGTGCACATAATTTTTTACGACCACTTTTATTATTATTATTATTCCGTGGAGGATCCCAATCACAAACTATTTTAATGTCAACGCGTTTCTCGATTATTTTGAGGGTTTTACCGTAGACTGCATTATATAATAATTTAAAAAAATCTTCTTCATATGAATTTTTAGCTTTTTTAGACAAGGTTTTTGCTTAAAACGCATCCCTCTATGAATTTTTTTTAGCTACAACCCATAAAGCAAACATTGCTGTAAATGTTTATAATGAATGATATAATTATACCCGTTACTCGTAGAGTAAAAGGGTATATTGTATTCGTGCAAAAGTATGTAACAGGGAGAAGGAAGCGTTTCCGACCCTATAAAGTATGTATATTCTTGATCAGGGTCACTAGCCGAGTCGATATAGCCATGTCCGTCTGTCCGTCCGTATGAACGCTGAGATCTCGGAAACTACAAAAGCTAGAAGGTTGAGATTTCCACACATATTCTTGGGCTTCCTACGCAGCGCAAGTTTATTCCAGTCGAGCGCCATGCCCCCTCTAACGCCCACAATCGCCCACTAACAATTTTAAAATGTGTCTGGCCCACACCTTTAAAGATTTCCGAGAAGTATATATGCAATTTTGTTGTGCATATTTATACCTATCGAAATGTAGAAGACATTTTTCAAATCGGACCATTCAATAAAAAGTTATACGCAATCAAAAGAATGGTATATATCCATCTCCCTCGCACTCCCTTTAGCCGAGTGACGGGTATTAGATAGTCGGGACAACAACCCGACGATAGCGTTCTCTCTTGTTTTTTTTTAT